GGGGGGGCGGGCAGACACACAGAATAAAAGAGATTTAAGAGACATAACCAAAATATGCAACTGTAAAAAGACACCTTTGAGATCATGAAACTGAGTACTGAATAAATATTAAATTATATTAAGAAAATATTGTCAATTGGTTAGGTTAGATAATAGTAAGTGGCTATGTTATTTTTAAAAAAGAACCTAATTGCCCTGGTTGGGTGGCTCAGTTGGTTGGAGCATTGTCCTGCACACCAAAGGGCTGTGGGTTTGATTCCCTGGTCAGGGCACATACCTAGGTTGGGGGTTTGATCCCTGGTTGGGGTGTGTATGGGAGGCAAACGATCAATGTTTCTCTCTCTCTCTAAAAGTTAATTTTAAAAACAACAATATATCCTCTGGTGAAGATTAAGGACCTAACTGATCAACTAGATATGCATACTGAATTACTTAATAGATAAAATGACATGTCTAAGATTTGCTTTTAAAGCAGTCCAGAAAGAAAAGTAACAACAACAAAAAGTAGAGGGGCCCGACCAGCATGGCTCAGTGGTTGAGCACTGACCCATGAACCAGGAGGTCATGGTTCAATTCCCGGTTAGGGCACATGCCCAGGTTTTGGGCTAGATCCCTAGTAGGGGAATGCAGGAGGCAGCCAATCAATGACTCATCATTGATGTTTCTATCTCTCTCTCCCTCTCCCTTCCTCTCTCTGAAATCAATAAAAACACATTTTAAAAGAAGGAAGGAACGGAGTGGGGAAGGAAGGAAAAGAAAAGATATATTTGAAAAACCCACAGTAAACATACTCTTTGGTGAAATACAAAACTTTTCCTTTAGATCAAGAATAAGAAGATCAAGGATGCCCACTTTCACGACTTCTATTCAATTTAGTACTGGAAGTTCAAGTCAGAGCAATTAGGCAAGAAAAAGCAACAATAGGCATCCAAATTGGAAAGGAAGACTTAAAATTATCTCTGTTCACAGATGATATTATCTTAAATGTAGAATACCCTTAATATTCCACAAAAAATGTTAGAGCTAATAAATTAATTCAGCAAAGTAGCAGGATATGAAGTCAACTCACAAAAATCAGTTGCATTTCTATGTATCAACAATGTACAATCTGAAAGGAAAATTACTAAAACAATTCTAAGAATAAAATACTTAGGAATTAACCAAGGAAATGAAAGAATTGTACAATGAAAACTAAAACATTGCTGAAAGAAATTAAAGAAGACCTAAATAAATGGAAATATATCCCATGTTCATGGATTGAAAAATTTATATTGTTAAGATGTCAATTACTACCTACAGCCATCTATAGATTCAATGCAATCCCTATCAAAATCTCAATGACATTTTTTATAGTAACAGAAAAACCCATCCAAAAATTCATATGGAATCTCAAGGGGCCCCAAATAGCCAAAACACTCTTGAAAAAGAACAAAACTAAAGGGTCCATACTTGCTTATTTCAAAACTTATTACAAAGCCACAGTCATCAAAACAGTTTGCTATAGGCATAAAGACAGGCATATAGATCAATGGAATAGAGCTCAGAAATGACCCCTCACATGTATGGTCAAACGATTTTCGACAAGGGTGCCAAGACCATTCAATGAAGAAAGTCTTTTCAACAAATAGTGCTGGGAAAACTGGATATCCACATGCAAAAAAAATTAAGTTGGACCCTTACATAACACCATATGCAAAAATTAACTCAAAATGGATCAAGGACCTAAATGTAAAACTTAAAACAATAAAACTCTTAGAAAAAACACAGGACAAAGTTTTCACATTAGATTAGACAATGATTTCTTGTGCATTACCCTAAACGCATAGGCAATAAAAGAAAAAAATAAACAAATTGGACTCCATAAAAATTTTGTACATCAAAAGACGATATCAACAGAGTAAAAAGGCAACCCACAGGATGGGAGGAAATATTTCCAAATCATATATCTCCTAAGGGAGCTCCTAAAACTCAACAACAAAACAAACACTATTTAAAAAATGGGAAAAGGATTTGAATGTATATTTCTCCAGAGAAGCTATACAGATGACTGTTAAGAACATGAAAAGATGCTCAACATCACTGATAATTAGAGAAATGCAAAATTATAACAAGATACCACCTCACATCTATTAGGATGGCTACTATCAAAAAAAAAAAAAAAAGAAGAAGAAAGAAAATAGCAAGAGTTAGAATGGATGCTGAGAAATTGTGCACTGGTGGTGGAAATGTAAAATGGTATATCTACTATGGCAAATAGTATGGCAGTTCCTTAAAAAATGAAAAACAGAATTACCATACGACCCAACAATTCCATTTTTGGGTATATACTCAAAGAAGAGAAGGCAGGGTCTTGAAGAGATATTTACACACTTGTGTTCACAGCAGAATTATTCTCAACAGCCAAAATGTGGAAGCAACCCAAGTGTCCATTAATGGATGAATGGATAAGCAAAATACAGTATACACATATAATAGATTATTTTTCAGCCTTAAAAAACAAGAAAATTCTGACATATGCTACAACATGGATGACCCTTAAGGACATTATGCTAAGTGAAATAAGTCAGTAACAAAAAGACAAATATTGTATAATTTCACTTAAGAGTTACTCAGAGTAATCAAAATCATAGAGACAGAAAATAGAATGATGATTTCCAGGGTCTGGGGACAGGACAAAATGGGAGTTATTATTTAATGGGCACAGAGTTTCCATTTTGCAAGATCAAAAGAGCTATTGAGATGGATGGTAACGATGGTTGTACAATGTGAACGTACTTAAAGCCACTAGACTGCACATTTAAAACTGGTTAAGATAGTAAATTCTGTTATATGTTTTTGTATGATAAAAAAATTTTTAAGCAAATTATTACAAAATAATCAGCTATAACTTTTTAAAAAAAGATTTTGCCAAAAATAGGTCAGAAAGCAGGATGTTCCACACTGCAAAACATTTTAAAAATCTGTGCATACCCAACAGGTCTTGGTTTTTAATTATTGAGCACATATACTTTGATTATCAATTCCCTTCTAACTTTATATATAAAACACTGGGTGTTCTAAAGAAAAACATTTGGAAAAATTATTGTTTCTTTTTCTTACACACTAAAATTGCCTACTTAATTTTAGTCTCTATAATGAGAAGCTTTCAAAGTAACAAACTGGAAGTTTATCCACAACTATTAAGTCCTACAGAAATGGAGGGCTGTTTTGTCCTCAAGGCTGTGAAATAAACTAAAGTTAAAAATCTTAAAATACACAAGTCTTTTTATACGTTAACATTGTCCTACTGGACTGAAGAGAGAAGCCAGGTGATAGGTATTTTATACACTACAAGAATTCTTACCTGGAAGATTACCCTTTGAGATGGTATCTGTATCCAAATTGTAGGTGTCCTGGAGACGCAACAGAGCTTTAGCTGCCCCAACCTGATCTTCATCATTAGGGAAGTACTGTCTCTGAATGGTTAGGTTAGAGATAAAGCCTTGAAACAAGGAGAGAAAAAAAGACTCTAGAACCTCAAAGACTTCAATTTCTAATAGTCTTTACAGAGATTTTTCAAAACTGATTTTATATAATTTTCCACTCTACTATGTTCCACATACTCAACGAGAAAAAATTAAATACACTGAATGAGACCTGAACCTCTAACTCGTTCAGTCTTCCCAAACCCTTTCTAATGTTGCTTAACCCAAAGTCACTGCATAAATTATGTCTGTGTATTACTAAAGATCAACTAACATAATAATTGAGCTTCTAGTTATACTACATAGCCTCCACTAAGCTTGAAAAATGAATAGATTTATGTATTTGAAAACTATATTCATTGGCAACCAATTATACTTTCAGATAACATATGGTAAGTAAAATGTATGCTCTTAAATTGTTTTTTTCTTCCATGTGCCACACATTATATAAATATAAATATACAAAGTTTGGTGGAATTCTTTAAGAAGAGGAAGAATTATTAATTATATATTTATCAGGTAAGATAGTTTATTGAAATATATTTAGATCTATTTAATTACTGAATATAGTGTTCATCAATCTTAATTTTAAAACTTTGTATATAAAATATATCAAAAATAAAACTAACAAACTAATTACTGGTAACTACATAACGCTTAAGAAGAAGGGATGCTAAATACTCCTTAAGTAACCGAAACAACAAAAACAAAAAGTGATTTAAAATTTTAAAAATATGTCATCATTTGCCAATATAAGTTTGGTCTGAGACTTCCCTTCCCTCTCATTTACTTATCAACTATTTTGATCAGCAAAGGGCTAGGCATTTTTATGTTAATGAAAACGTAAAAATGAACAACTAGCTTGAGGAGGTCTAAAGTTCATATCAGGCATATTTTTTTAGTTTTAAGACCAACTCTCAGTCACAATATCCACATGGAATTTTACAAGCAAGTTTTACAGATGACTATAATGTTCTTTTATGCCCCAAAACAAAATTCAAGAAGCTGCTTAAATCCTAATAAAAAGAGAAATATATATATATTATAGCATTATAAATGCTATAATACCACAATTAAAATGTCAAAGTCTCAAGGTTTACCCTATAAAGAGCTCAAGTCATACAGATCATTATTTGAGAATTTTAAAATAAATTGAATATGTGTGTATACATATTTACACACATGTATACACACACATACAGGACCTTTACAATGTTCTCATAGTGTCATATAAGAGAGCAAATAATCACAGTTATTTTCCTCTCATCATGAAGTAGTAGTCATACTGCTTGCCTTAATTTTTCTTTTTAAGGTTTCCTGTCTTATGCAAAATAGTTTAGCTTACTGCTCACAAACAGCTGTAAGCACCCTTGGAGTATTTCATCAACATGTCTAGCTCAATTCTCCTCCCCCTCTCTTTAAAAAAAACTTTTTTTTGCCACCTTCAGTCATTCAACAGATATTTGAACCTCTACTATATACTAAGCACAAACCCTTTACTTCCTTAAACTTCAAGCTTAATTTTCTGTGTCTGGTATTAAAATACCTTAAATACCTCAATACTCCAACTACAATTTATTGTTTCAACTACAAAGACATTCGTTATTACTGTTTGCAGCCTCAGTTTTTAAATGTGTTGTCTACATTAAGTAAAACAATCCTAAGTTTCAAAATGCTGTGTAGAACACCACTAACACTTTTCCTTATGGTACCACTCTCCCAATACACTAAAATAAAGTTTACCCCAAATTTTTAAAATAATAAACACAATTACAAAACCACCAATAACACTGGAGTGCTTCAATTAGATGCAACTATATAGTTCACGATATAGTACATTTTTGAAGATTTATTCTGGATCATTCATACCCTTCAATACAATTAATATAATGTGCTGACTTTATAAATACATTTTTTAAAAGCTAACAGTCCTTTCAATGCAGAGGAAAAGAACAGCCATTGCTCTGGCACAGAGTCAAAGCCAATATCCATAAATTTTTATAGTCTGAAAGTAATGCCCACCTTCAGAAATGAAGCTATATACCAAATAATTCACATTTGTAGATTTCAAAGCAAAAAGCAGTAGTGTTAGTCACCAATAGCAGAAATTACGTTTTTTGACAATGAAGTTTTATTTTTATTTCTTTGTTTCCAGTTTTTATTCACTTTTTTTTTTAATCAAGAAATTTGGGATCTATAATAAATTAACTCTGATCAGACCAAATATACCCCAGCAATAATTCAGTTACAACACTGAACACTTCATGTTCTGGAAACTGAATATATCGCTACTTTTGGCATTTCTACAGGTGGTACCAACAGTGCCTTACTTTTGGGGCGCATAAGTCTTACCATCTGACTTACCATCTGACATATCCTTAAGGACCAGATTTTCCAACTCACTCCACTCAGTGTTCAGACGTTTCATTAACTTGAATGCATTTACTGGGTGCCCGACAAATCCTTCTGGATCTTTTGTTGCTGTGCTAGTTAGCCGATCTAACTTCTCGGCCCATCTATACATATAAGATATATAATAAGAAAAACACAATTTAGTAAAGCACTAAAAAAAAAAAAAAAGAGACTAGAGGTTTTTGAGTTAAAACAATATCTAATATCTAAAGATTATTTTTTAAAGTAAAATTATAAAGGTTTTTTAAAAAGCAAAATTCTCTTATGGATAAAAATCTAGGCAGAATCAAAATATAACTACAAGACTTTTTTTAGTTTTGTTTCTTCCAAGTAGCTACAGTAAGTGAAGCCTATCTTAGTGAAAGTTATGAGTGGATCCCTCTAGTAACAGTCTAAAAATTCATTTCCCCATAGGTCATTAAAGCCAAATAACTGATTATTACAAAGTACAAATTAGCCCAATCCAAATTCAGTTATATGTCCATTTAAATCAAATAATCACCAAAATTTCACATTCATTACCTAGAAACTATATTTTAAAACAAAAAAACTGGCCAGGCGAGGCATGGTTCAACAGTCAAGCATCGACCCAGGATCCAGGTGATTGGGGTTCAATTCCCAGTCAGGGCACATGCCCAGGTTGTGGGCTCGATCCCCAGTCAAGGGAGTGAAGGAGGCAGCCGATCAATGACTCTCTCATCATTGATGTTTCTATTTCTCTCTCTCCCTCTCCCTTTCCCTTCCTCTCTCTGAAATCAATAAAGATATATTTAAAACCAAAACCAAAAACTGAATACTTAGCTACTGGTTAAACAAAAGACAGTAATTCTCAAGTTAGGATTAACTATGAACCTGAGTCAATTAAAATTAACTACCATTTGAGGAAAAACTATATCAAGTAAATAATACCAACCATACTTATCACTGTAATCTCTAGGGGGGAACCATAGGAGTGAAGGATAAATAGAACTGTGATATTGCTCCAGAAAGGGGCTTGATTAGGGAGGTTAGAGGACAGAAGATATTAGGAACCATTTTTTAAAATTGTCAATCAACAACCCATACCCATTTATACTCTTATCTCAGTCCATGTTTTTCCATGTGAACTCTTCGCCCAGGTCTAACTCTTGTTTCCTGCATTCCTATTTAAGCCATTTCAGCTGGCTTTTTAAGACTGACAGGTGACTTTCATTTCTACTCAGTGATTTAGCTCAAGAAAGAAAACAGGTGGAGTTGGAATTATAATAAATAAAACACTTTGCTTACTTTTTTATTTGTTCTAATTTATCTTCTTCTGCCTTGATATAGTCTTTCAAGGAAGTCACCAGATCTTTCTCTGTATGGATCAAGTCAGTCATCTGACCTAAAGTGGGGAGAAGGAGAGAAGATTATCAAATACCCATATTCATCAACACAAGCATTTTAGACTAATTTAAGAATAATCAAGAATGCTTCATGCTGAGATGATTTAACTGGCATGAATCAGGCATGCTGGGGAGAGCATATTTTTCTCCCTTTTTTTTAACCAGATAAATAAAAATAAAGCCCAAAATTTTTCTATTCATGTGTTCCAATTCTAATTTTCAAGCTACTTAGTTTTGTAAGCTTGAACCGTGTTGGCAAATTGTCTTTTCATCTAAAAATCTAACAACATTACTTTCGAAGGATCAATGTTTCTTCTTCCCCAACTCCTCTCTCACCTTTATTTATCTATTTATTTAAAATATGTTTTTAGCGCGGCCGGGCGTGGCTGAAGGGTTGAGCATCGACCTAGGATCCAGGCAATCGGGGTTCGATTCCCGGTCAGGGCACATGCCCAAGTTGTGGGCTCGATCCCTAGTCGGGGGCGTGCAGGAGGCAGCCGATCAATGACTCTCTCATCATTAATGTTTCTATCTCTCTCTCTCCCTCTCCTTTCCTCTCTCGGAAATCAATAAAGATATATTTAAAAAAATAAAATAAAATTTGTTTTTATTGATTTGAGAGGAAGAGAGAAAGAGAAACATCAATGAGAGAAACATCCTTCAGCTGCCTCCCGCATGCCTCCTACTGAGGATCAAGCGTGAAACCCAGGCATGTGCCCTGACCGGGAATGGAACCAGTGACTCTCAGTGCACAGAACGACACTCAACCAGCTGAGCCACACTGGCAGGGCACCTTTTTTAAAAATTTATGAGGCTAACTAGAGTTAAATTTTTATTCCATTAATAAAAACTAAATTAACAAAAAAAGTATTCTTCACAACTGAAAATCAAATAATCCATATTTATTTAAATAGAATGAGAGAACTCATCATTTTATATCCTGAAATTAGGTGTCATAAATATAATACTTGTGTTTTAGTTAGCTCTACAAATCACACAAGGGCTGGCTTGGCTGGTCAACAGCATGAAGGAAAACAACTCCTTTCAGAGAGGAAGTATGCATAGAGGAAAATATAAGAGGATACGAATCAAGCCATGAGGAATATTTCTGGGGAAAGAAGACATGTGGATGTCTTACATTCCATGTACTTCTGATCTTTCCCCTTTAATCAATATACTATTTTTATAATACAAAAGTTTTTTTTAAATTATGATGTAGGAAAAAAATAAATTGTGTTCACAGTAGATTCTTAAATGGAAAAGCAGGCTATGAAATAATGTGCAGTATATTATTTGTAAATCTGTGCATTAAAAAAGACAAAGTATATGCATTAAATTATTTGCTGGGTGGACCCATTAACAGAGAATTTTCTTTGGCATACTCTCCTAAATTTTCATTACTTTCTAACCTACAAATGTACTGCTTTTGCAATCGGAAAAAATATTTAAAGAAAAACAAAATTGAATTTTAAAAAGAGTATCTCTTAGAGGGGCAGGGGCTAAAGCAATACTTCAGTCTCTAGGAATACAGTATATTTCTTTTTACTGATTCAAAACACTAAAAAATGGAAAATTTTAAATGCAAAAACAATACAAACTGAAAAAGAGTTAAGACTTACCAATTGAAGTAAAAAAGCCTGGATGGGCTAAAGACTGGGGAAGTAGAATCCCTACAATTAAAATATACCGGATCATCTTGGAAGTCTTAATTTTACAGGTTCACACACCTACAAGAAAAATACGGCTATTACAAAAACTTTTAAAAAGGAAGGGTAAGAAAAGTTCCAAACTTATTTTTCTTACAAACAAAAAATGTAAGTCAGATCATGTGATATTTGTCTTTCTCTGCCTGGCTTATTTCGCTTAGCATAATATTCTCCAGGTCCATCCATACTGTCCCAAAGGGTACGAGATTCTTCTTCTTTACAGCTGCGTAGTATTCCATGGTGTGAATGTCCCACAGCTTTTTTATCCACTCATCTACTGATGGGCACTTGGGCTGTTTCCAGATCTTAGCTATTGTAAACTGTGCTGCCATGAACATAGGGGTGCATATATTCGTTCTGATTAGTGTTTCAGGATTCTTAGATAAGCCAGGCAGAGAAAGACAAATATCACATGATCTCACTTGTATGTGGAATCTAAAGAACGTAATAAACTGATGAACAAAATAGATTCAGTGACAGAGAAGCATAGAAAAGACTGAGGAATCTCAGAGGAAGGTGGGGGGGATGTGAGGGGTGGGGAGAGATTAACCAAATAATTTATATGTGTATATGCATAACCCATAGACACACACAATAGTGTGGTGAAAGCCTGGGGCAGGGAGTGGGGGTGGTGGTGGAAGGGGTTAATGGGGGAAAAAGGGGACATCTATAATATTTTCAACAATAAAGATAAACTATAAATAAATAAATAAANAATTGAATTTTAAAAAGAGTATCTCTTAGAGGGGCAGGGGCTAAAGCAATACTTCAGTCTCTAGGAATACAGTATATTTCTTTTTACTGATTCAAAACACTAAAAAATGGAAAATTTTAAATGCAAAAACAATACAAACTGAAAAAGAGTTAAGACTTACCAATTGAAGTAAAAAAGCCTGGATGGGCTAAAGACTGGGGAAGTAGAATCCCTACAATTAAAATATACCGGATCATCTTGGAAGTCTTAATTTTACAGGTTCACACACCTACAAGAAAAATACGGCTATTACAAAAACTTTTAAAAAGGAAGGGTAAGAAAAGTTCCAAACTTATTTTTCTTACAAACAAAAAATGTAAGTCAGATCATGTGATATTTGTCTTTCTCTGCCTGGCTTATTTCGCTTAGCATAATATTCTCCAGGTCCATCCATACTGTCCCAAAGGGTACGAGATTCTTCTTCTTTACAGCTGCGTAGTATTCCATGGTGTGAATGTCCCACAGCTTTTTTATCCACTCATCTACTGATGGGCACTTGGGCTGTTTCCAGATCTTAGCTATTGTAAACTGTGCTGCCATGAACATAGGGGTGCATATATTCGTTCTGATTAGTGTTTCAGGATTCTTAGATAAGCCAGGCAGAGAAAGACAAATATCACATGATCTCACTTGTATGTGGAATCTAAAGAACGTAATAAACTGATGAACAAAATAGATTCAGTGACAGAGAAGCATAGAAAAGACTGAGGAATCTCAGAGGAAGGTGGGGGGGATGTGAGGGGTGGGGAGAGATTAACCAAATAATTTATATGTGTATATGCATAACCCATAGACACACACAATAGTGTGGTGAAAGCCTGGGGCAGGGAGTGGGGGTGGTGGTGGAAGGGGTTAATGGGGGAAAAAGGGGACATCTATAATATTTTCAACAATAAAGATAAACTATAAATAAATAAATAAATAACGCTGAAAAAGAAAAACAGTCAGACCTCAAGGTTGCCTGTGGAACTGTTGTTAATTCTTGGAAACTGACTTAATTATTTAATAAAAGCCACTGTCTTATTTTTCATATAATTAGAGTACTAACTTGATATTTCATGTTAAAAAAAGACATGTTTATCACCTGATAATTTATGCTTAACAATTCAACCTGAATTTATTTTCTCCTTAATTACTAACAACTACAATTAGAGAAACTGGATAAGTAGTACTGTTTTCATAGAGCCTGAAAAATAACTTTTCTGTGATCCAGTGCTAAATCATCTATTTCCCATAAAAATATACTACTTTATTAAAGTAACTTAATTTAAATACTACCAAAATACATTCTAAAATGTTAGAGTATGTTTTAAAGAGAAGAAAGACTTCAGTGCTTTCTGATTAATCCTTTTCATTTCCAACTTACTCCATCTTTTCCCTACATGGCTTTAAATTTTAAAATAAGGTCAATTAAAAGCTGTGGATTTGGGAGTGATGAAAGTATTCTAAACTGACTGTGGTGACTGACGGTTGAAGAACACTGTGAAAGTACTAAAACCCACTGAATCGTGAACATTAAATGGGTGATTTGTATGGCATGTGAATTATACCTCAACGAGGCTGTTATTTTTAAAAAGGTGTACAGAATCCAAAACAGAATAAACAGCCCTGTTGATTTAAGCTAGTAATTTCTCTCAAAGGACTGAAGAGCTGAGTTTCTTTCTCTTATGTACTGTGTTCTATGTGAAAAATCCTCAGCCTAGTACATGGCTGTGGCTTTTTTAAAAAAACCTTTCTTTTTTCTTTGCCCCTGTAGTGTTGTCTTTCTAGAATGTATTCTTCGTGGTGGATACAGATATCGATCAGCCAGCAGGAGGATTTTACCCTGCTTTCCCCACATTCTTCCCTTTTCCTCTCCCTTACAGTCATGGACCTCGTGTCCTTCTTATTACCTTACAGGACAGTAAGTTACCATCAAAGTCACCCTATTTTTTTGTGCAGGCATCTCTGTCAGACTCTTCCCAAGAGACTTCACCTAAACCGGCAGGTTCAAGTCCACATGAAAAGTTCCCTATTCCAAAAACAAAACAAAACAAAACAAAACACAACCCCACTTTCCTAACTTGAATCTCAATAAAAATAGATCACCATAGAAACGGACATTCTGGAAGTACTCCTAAGTCTCCTCCCTCAAGTTTGCTGCAAACTTCCAGATACTTCCAGAACCACACAGTAGTAAAATACACTGCTCTCTTGGCTGCTTTACAGTGACTCTTTGGAAAGGCTTCTAGAATGTAGCAGATGCAGACACACTTCCTCTCCTGGGCTCCTGCCAAAGCACAAGGCTTTTTCAAAATCCTGGACTGTCTGAAGAGTCTAGAATCTTCTCACTGTAAATGGGTTTCTGCCATAATTTTCTTCATGAATGTTATTTCCAGAAAATACAAATGTTTTTGCTGTACCAACAGTAGGCTAAATCAGAAATGTTGTCTAATGTTTAACTCTGATAAGTATAGATTTGCCAGGTAAGAGGTTATTACTGTTTTTTTCAATGCTAAAATATATTGTCACTAAAGTTTCTTTGTCATTTTTCCTCATCCTTAAACCTCACAAAGAATCAAGAACCATTAGCCTACAGACATTACTAAAAGGAAGCTTGAAAACTGCATTTGAAGAATGACAGAGCTTATATAAAAATTAAAAGCATTAATCATATGAAAAGTAAACATACGTTTACCTTACATCATGCTGCAAAAAAATTCTAGATGGATTAAAGAGTTATAATCAACAAAAAAATAAAAGCTCCAAAAAAGTTACTGGATCTCTCAAAGGAAAAAAATTCTAAACTTAAAAATGATAAAACCGCCTATTGAAAACCAGATGGGATCTAAATACACAAAATAGCCCTGGCTAGTGTGGCTCATTCGGTTGGGTATCATATGGTGCACCAAAAGGTTGCTGGTTTGATTCACGGTCAGGGCACATGCCAGGGTGGCTGGATGAACCCCTGGGGGGAGTGCAGGAGGCAGCCTGTCAGCGTTTCTCTCTCACCCCTTCAACAGGCGAATGGACAAACTGGTACGTACATCCAGACACGGAGTATTATTCATTGCTAAAAAGAAATGAACTATGAAGCCATGAAAAGATATGGAGGAACCTTACATGCATATTACTTGGCAAAAGAAGACAATCTGAAAAGGCTATATACTATATGATTCCCCAAGTATATGACACTCTGGAAAATGCAAAACTATGAAGACAGTAAAAATATCAGTATGTATTGGGGATGAATAAATGGAGCAGAGAGGATTTTTAGGGCAATGAAAATAGTCTGTATGATATAATGATAAATACATGTCTTTATACCTTTGTCCAAACCCATAGACTATACAACACCTAAGGTGAACAGATCATGTAAACTTTGAGCTTTGGGGAATTATGACGTGTCAATGTAGATTCACCATTTATAACAAATATACCACTCTGATTGGGGTTATTGAGGTTATGCATGGGTGGGGTCAGGGAGTATATGGGAAATCTCTGGACCATCCTCTCAATTTTGCTGTGAATCTAAAACTGCTCTAAAAAAATAAAATCTTAAAAAAAAAAATTTAACATCATACAACCCTGTATTGAATGAGATTAAGTTTCTACTACTATGTTATAAATACTGATCAAAACAAATTTTAAAAATTAACATAATATGATCATAACTCTGCAAGAAAATATGCAGAGGAAATTCACCAAAATGTAAGTTGTCTCTCAACAAGGTGATTTGTTTCTATTTATCTGTATTTTCCTAGGGTATATACAAAATAATAAACCTAAAATATTAACTCCCATATCATGGCACCCTACGCCTTTAATGGAGTAGTTAACTACTCTCTAACACAAACAGTAGGTAGCTATACATGTTTGAACATGTTCATTTTCTAACTCTTTAAGACTCCAGATTTATCTCCCTGCTTCGAAGGCAGTTAAGCTTATTTGAAAGCAACCCAGATATCTAGTAGTGAACTACATTGTCAGAATAGCACACTTTTCTATTTTCCTTCTTCCCACAGATAAACACAAGACCCAGACTAAGCCAGTCATTGACCCTCATTCCCACCAACACAGCTGCTGAGGGGTGGGACTTGTGAAATGGTGAAATGGTGCAGTTGCTAAGCTCCAGCTCCGAGGATGTGAATTTGGAGGTGCCTGTGGCCATCTTTCCCACATGTAAAGGACACATAGGAACCTAATCTACAAAGAGGAGAAAGTCCTGCACAGAGAAGAGGTTCCCCGCTCCTCAGTCCTCATTCTTCCAATTATTGCTCTGAATCTGTGAGCTATTCCCATTTGGTTCTGTAAGTAGCCCTCACCCGGAACACTCCGTGAAGGTGAGGAGGCCCAGGGCTGTTCACTCCTCCTAGCCTCCATGCACACGCCCCACCACAACTTCTGTCATTTGCAATAGGAATTTCAGAACCACACAGCACTACTCCAAACTGCCAATGCAACCTAAGCTAGTTAATAAAAACAAAGACAGCCCTGTAGAGCAGTGCTTCCCAAACTTGAGCTATATTGGAATCACCTAAAGGTCGGAGGTACTGAGACAACTTATTCAAGTTCTTAGGTGATGCTGATGCTGCTGGTCTGGGGAATCAAACTTTGAGAAACACTGGGTACAAACGTCCCTTCAAATCACACAAAAGGTGCTCTCTGCTTTTAAAATAGATTTACTTCAAACTTATTTTTTGAAAAATATCACTGAATTTCTAATTACTCTAGGGAATGGTTCCTCTAATCTGTTTGAATTCTTTCAGAAATCTTAAGTGACATGTATGACATGACATAATAGGTAAAGTATATGTTTATCAATCAAGTTTTTAAAACATGACGGCTTCCTTACTAACGAAGTCTCACTTCCACTTATCTCCATCTCCAACCACTTAACAGCTTGCAAAGCATATCATATTTACAAGCATCTATATGAGTCAAACATCCCAGAGACATTAGGGTTTTATCAAAAATAGAAAGACATAAATGTCTCCTGTTCTAATCCTCAAACAAGCTTGAAACAGAATTGAAATAGGTTTAAGAGGATGCAATCTCCTTTAAAAGAAAGGTAAACCTCAGCTCCCTGAGAAGACTTGATGAAAGAAGAAAGAGAAATAGAAAAGGAACAGAGGAGGAAAGAAAAGAAAGTCAAAGAAGAGTCAAAGATACAAAGAGACATTTATACTGGAATAGAATTTAGCGCAAAACAGTATGGACAATATTTAGTTCCTGGTTGAATAGTAAGTT